ACCGTGAGGGGCGGAAGTTGTCCTTGGTACAACTTCACTACAAAAAAACAACTGCAGTTGTCTTTTGTAGTTTTCCCTGTGTGGGCCTGTTGGGTACATGATTGTTCACAGTTTGCTGTGGCACGCAAGTGCTGGTGACGGCCAGCTTCAGCCTGCTACTTGCTACTAGACCAAGTGCTTGGGGCACCCATCGTGGAAGCCCAAAGTTGAGCGACCAGCTTGAGCTTACTACTTGCTGCTAGGCCAATTGCTTGGGGCACCCATCGTGGAAGCCCAAAGTTGAGCGACCTTTCACAATGCTTCTAGCCAGCTGCATGGCTCAGCGCAAAAGACACACGCGCACCATGTTAGCTGCAACACTGGTAATCTACTATACGCACTGTGCTATAGTTTAAAAAAGAAACAGAGCGAAGTTATCGATCGATGTTTTGCAAAAATATCTCCAGAACCATACAGAGCGTGTAGGCGTGCAGGTGGGGGTTGTTTGGCACTGGTGAAAAAAAGTAAAGTTTTGGGTCAACCAAAACGCCACACCCATTTTGTGACGTCCTGTTCCACGTCCCATGTCCCCTTCGTGTTTTCCCTGCACGTTCACACACAACCGGGGTCATCAACTCCAGCAACTCCGTGCAACTTTTCCACACCGGCAGTGACGTGGTGAAACGCTACGCCATCTATGCAGTGCAGTCATGTTACGTATGAAAGTTTTTAAGGCCTTTCAGTTTCTCCAACTGTGTATGAGTCGGCGCATGTCTTTTCTCATGAGAAAAGCTAAGCGCTCCGAGGACATCGTTTCTGAACTTAGTTGTTTGTTTTGTGGGATAGTTTTTTGGAATGGGGTCAACCAGGTGTTTGAAACCTCACTTTAGCGTGTGCATTCTGCTTCAAGTCTGCACGCGCCCTGCCGGCTTTCTCTTTTAGCTCTGCTCGTCGAACCGCTCCAAGCGTTACCTGCTGTGCCTGTTGCGATGGCCGACCGTGAGATCCCGGCTCTCGATGATGGGAGAAAACCGTGGAAGTCAGTGAGTGCCTGGGTTGACTTTCTATTTCTCGCTAGAGCATTGTCACAGCTGTCAACCTGCTGAGTGGGTTTGCGTGAACCGCGTGCAGTGACATAAGAGAATTTTCGCACCCTGAGGGCCTGGAAAGATTTCCTGGACGAAGGAGGAGGTTGCAACTTGTTTTTCCGCTGTTGTTAGAGATGCAAGAGAGACAGACAGAGGGCGAGAGAGAGAGAGAGAGAGAGAGAGAGAGATAGAAGAATTTCAAAGCTGCTTTTCGGCCCAGGAAAAGTTGGCCAACGAATGGATTCACGATCTGCCCGGACGGGCGTTCAACATGATCCAGAACCACAGGGTTCCAGCTGGCACAGCATTGATTGGTTTGTCTTCCGATGTTTCAACTCCCTCGTGCAAGGACCTTCATCCTTTCATTTTCCCATGACCCGCCATGTTTGTCTTGAGGGTTTTGCACATCGAAGTTCGTGGTTCCCTGCGTTTATTCTATCTCTAAAGCCCTTGCGCGAGGAGATTTCCTGGAACTACACGTGGCTCAAAGCTGTTTGCAAGAGGTCACCGGATAAGGCTGTCAGTATACAAGCAATTTCACAAGCATCGATTCAGTTAGCAGTTGTGCACCAAACCAGTGTTTTTTCTGGAGACACATCACCAGGTGCCCAGCGTCTTCTTCCTGGCAGACGCATTCCTGTTCATGGACCGCCTGATGGATGGTGCACTGCTCCTACCAAAGGCTCCTGAAACTAAGGCTGATGTCGCTGGTCAGGAAGCGCGGCGCGTCAAGAAGCTGATGGGGGCGCTCAGACACCTCTACAGAAGCTGACCCTCGTCTTTAAGAAATCAATTGTTCAATACCACTTTTTGCCAGGTATACCGTATACCATACATGCCAAGTCCTTGTCTCCGCATCCACATGATGGAGCGTACCTGCCAACTCCATCATTGCTGTGAGGCCCGGGCAAAAGCACCGATGGCTATGTGGAGGAGCTGAAGCAGATTTTGCAGAAATCTCCAACCAGGGGTGCGGGACCACCCCGGGACAATGAGGACATTTGCTTGAGTTCGAACATGTGCAAATTGTTGGTTGCACATTGGCTTGAGGTGTTGCGTTGGCTTTGATAAGTGCATGAAGGGCTTGTCTGTTTTTTAATCCTCAGGAAGTCGAAGCGCTTGAGGATGGAGAGCCTGACGGATCCGCAGCTGACGCCAGCGGATCAGAGTCAGGGAGCGACAGCTCTGAGGATTCTGAGGCGTGTAGTGAGGCTTGCGCTGAACCGCGCTCAGATGTGGCGACTGGCAGCTTGGGCAGTCCAGACGCAGGTGCGCCAAGTTCCCCTGACAAGAAGACCAAGTACAGGGAGTACTGGAAGAAGTTTGTTGTACCATGGCCACCACAGCCTCATGGCCCTTCACGAGATGTTCCCAACAAGGAGCTCCAGACTTGTGAAGAGTCCGAGGGTGGAGATGAAGATTTGTCTCCCTACAAATCGCCGGACCTCAGCAATGCGGTTTTCTCGCCAACTGTGCGCAGCACTTCCGCCACAGGCAGTGAGGAGGAGGAGATCAGTGAGGAGGGGTGCGCGAAGGAAACGCCTTGTGGAGCAACGCGTGCCACAAAGAGTGCCAACACCAAGTCCAAGGGTGATGATTCCGAGTGCGACAGTCTCAATGCCAGGACATTGAGGTTGGGTGAAGGAGAATCTGAAGGAGACTCTGACCCAGGGTCGCCCACTCCAATGTCGGCCTCCTCAGACGGGATGGTTTCAGAGAGTGAGTTTCACGAGGCCATGAACGACGGGAACTTCTTGGCTCACCAGGAGGCCTTGAATCCGCAATCTTCTTCGTCGACTATGAAGACTCCAAATTGTCGTCAGCCGAATTTCTGGGGCTTTCCGATGGTCGAGACACCTCCGAAGACCGAGGTCTCTTGGCTGGGCATGCGCAGTATATAAACAAATAGATTTCCCAGTGGTGTTGCAAGAGTTTTTTGCTCCATCATCAACTGTCTATTTTTGAGAGCGCTTTGCACTTTGATTGATTTTTCCCATCAATACTGCTCCTCAATTTTGCTCGAAGGCGCCGGAGAAGGCCAAGAAGAGCAAGGCTCCGGCAGCTAAGGGTAAGCTGTGCAAAACCAAATCAAAAGCTAGCTTCAAGACTTCTGGGCCCAAGAAACCGTTCATGGTCAAAGAGCCAAAGGGTCAGACCAAATACAATGGGTATGACATTACCAGTCTTCCGAGGGAAGCTTTCCCCAATCCAGGGAGATGCAACACAGGAGCTCACAGCTATACGCTCACGTATGGCGAAGCCAGCGTGGAAGTTTTGCTTCAAAAGGAGGCCTATTTTGTGAAGAAGGTAGCGCCCAATGGGACAGGACCTATTGGCCACATTTCGTGGGCGAAGAATGGAGGCCCCAGGCAAGCTTTCAAGGTTGCGAAGGCAAGGTCTGGGTTGGAGCGATACAGCTTCGAGCAGGCAAGCTAATTGGCGACGTGTTCAATTTTGTGGGTATTAGTGTATATCCTTCCAGGCAAATTAATTTGCGCAGTACATCCTTTGTTTCTCACCATTCTCATCGTCGCCATTTTGAGTCACTATTTTGAGCAGGGATGATGATGTTGTCTCATTCATATACTTTGAATGAGTATGGGGTATACAACAATCCCGGGAGTGTCATAGCTAGCAGGCGTTTGGTGGACGTATGTGGAGGTTGATATTCAAAAAAAGTTTCTGTACCTCAAAATCTATTGGTGTGTTCTGTTTTGTTCACGCTAGTTCCAAGTCCTGGAGCGCCTAGCTTCAGATGCCCCGGGCGTTGTAGCTCAGGCCACGGCCACGGGACCTTAGATGTAGATGTTCTGCGCGGCAGTCGCATTGAGAAAAACCACCACGGATAGGGATCAAACATGAATGTAAGATGGTAGCCATTCTCATTCATCAAGACTTTGCCAAACTTCGCAAATCTAAGATGGTAGAATTTCTCTCCCTTCAACGATGCAAGCACATGAAAACATGCAGCGATTGCGCCCGCTTTCTGTCAGGTAGCTATCCCACCTACAGTTCGACCTTTTGAACCCTTCTTTTTGCAAGTCTAGTGTAGACATATGTTGGCAAGCTTCTGCACTCTACCCACACAAAGAACTCAGTAACATGTCTACGTGTAAGTAACGTCAGGCAACAAAGAGATTGGTGAGAACATCTGTAAAGAAAGTGCAATCGGTCTAGCTCTTTGCTACAAGTGGGTAGGTGCCGATGGGGTTTTACGGGCAGCACGCTGTTGGGGATCAGCGCATGTTGTCAAGGCTGGAGGGCTCGCGTTCGCCGAGCGCTTCTTTTGACAACTGTTTTACGTTCATGACGTTCACCACTCCTGCAAGTTTGTGTTCAGTGGCTCAGGTTGCAATAACTAGAGTCCCTGGAGAACAGGCTCTTCCGCCCCTTTCCGCCCCAATGACCAAAACCGGCTATCCAAGCGGCGTGCGAAAAGCCATGGTGGACGAAGCCAAGAAGGTGCCCAAGGCCCTCAAGCACGGCTTCACTGCCCGAACGGTGCAGCAGCGACATCGCAAGTGGTGCATGGTGGGTTTGCGAAAAATTGGTGCCCCAAAGGTGGGGGTTTTGATTCAAGAAGGGTTTCAACAAGCTTGGAAGTAAATGCGCTTGCATGGGACATGTTAGCCAGACCCTTCCCCCTTCCCAAAAGGACGTGTTCAACAGTGGCCTGAGCAATGGGTTTTCTGCTCTCAAAACCTTTCCTGGTCCACTTCCAGGTCTTGGCACTTTTGGCGGCAATGGTATTTGCCTTTCCCCAATTGGCATGGACGCCTCTAGATCACGCAGAACTCTTTGCTGGGAAGATGGCAGTGAGTCTGGCCGAGATGGAGGATGGGTGTTGCTGTGGCTAAACGTTGGCCCAGTAAGAATGAAGGAACTTGGAATCCTTGCGCTGTTGGTGGGTAAATTTCACCCCATCCTCTTTCACCCCATCCCTCCTCAAAGTAGCTGCGGCCCTGACCAAACAGGAGAGCCGAAGATGTGCATCGTTGGACCTGGAGTACGGTGGTGAATGCATGGACTTTATGACAAACAAGGGCTTCGTTCATGCTGTATACACAGTTCTCCGCTTATCGCCAGGATCTTCTCTTACCCTCGCACCTGTGTGTTCGACGTGGGTATGGATGTTCCTCGCGTTGCAATTTGTTAGGGAAATCCTTTCACACCAAATCTAATCAGAATCACTCTTACCAAGACACAGGTTCTCTCTTGGTTGGCGTTTGGGGTCTTTGAGTGACACCTGGAAAACAACGCGGCTCTTTTGAGTCTCAATCCACAGGCCTCACAAGTGTGGGCCCTTCTTCCAAGTATGCTGGAGGAACTCGATCTTAGCTTATTTTTCGGAGATGCCCCAAAAACTATGCAAGGGATATTTAGTAGGTCGACAGTCTATAATCGCGGTACTCAGGTCTCGTGGCAGCACAAAACGGAGCAAGGCCCTGCCATTGGGTGATGACAGCGCACCAAGCGTGGCGCTGGGAAACACGATGGTGGCGCGATGCGCTTTACTGTTGTTTCTTGCGGCTGCCAGGGGCATATGGTTTGTTTTGGAGCAACCACGTGGTTCATTGCTAGAGTACCACCCAGCCATGCAGCGGGTTCTCAAACTTGTCAGAGTATGGCGCAAACATGTTCGTATGGGTGATTTTGCTGCGCCTACCGAGAAGGGCACTTGGCTCTACAGCAGTCCGGGCCTCACTTGTTTGGCCAAGCACATCGATCCTGAAAAATGGGTTGGGGTGATTGGTACCTTTGGTTCTAATAGTTCTTTTGGTGCATGTCCCGAAACTCATGAAACGGATGAGCTTTGAAGAGATTTGCTGATGCCCAAAGACAGTAAAAACCACAGCTTTCCGGGTGGCCTTTCCCTATTGTTTTCCAGTGGGTATAGAAGGCAAAAAGGCCACCCCCAAGAAAGGACATGAGTCTGTTGGGACTGGCTTCCTTTCTTCGCAAGGTCGACCAGAGATCGAAGAGTTGCACAAGTTCAAACCCAAGTGCCTGCCAGCCCCGCAGGAGGAGGTTCAGCTTGTTGATCACTATGTTGACAGTCGCGGCCAGAAGAGAGTGAAGGGGAATCGTGCCCTCAAAAAGTCTCAAGCCTATACGATACAGTCCCACGCTGTCCAAAAGAAAGCTTTGGGATGGACCCACAAAAGATTTCCCTAACAGACCCTAAAAAGCAATTGTTGGAGGTGTCCCAAAATGGCCCTAAAACCTTCTAAAACGCATGAACATGGGACACCTCCAAAAATTGCTTTAAGGGTCATGCAGATCTTTCTTCGTTGTTGTTCTGCTTGTATGAATGGAACCCTCCACCGGCCCCAGGTTTGGAAGGGCCCTGGCTCGCTTGAGATCCCGGCACATTGCCAGCGTCCGCAGGGAAGCTCGACAGTTCCTGCGGTCAGCTGCAAAGGGTGATGCAAAACCCTTCGTGGTCACCAAAGATATGGCCTTTTGGTGCAAACATGCAAACCTCGACCCTGTTTTCGAGTTTCTTGCATAATTTCCCATGGTTGGGAGACGCAATTAGTTCAAGGTTCTGTGCATTTAGTTTGGCAAACGCCGATCAATTCGGGGTAGCTTCACACGGCTAAGGGTTTGAGTGGAAACGCGTGACCCTCGATGCTTTGCGAAGGTCTGACTGCGTCAGAAAATTCATAAGGAAACCGTGTGCTTCCAGAAGAAAAAGCGCAGGTTCTTCCACTGCTCTCTTTCGAAGAGTTTATGTCAACCGATTAGTAAAATAGATTGAGTTGATGTGTTCACTCTTTTCTTTTGCCTTTGCAAGAAACAGAGTGTTGCAAAACAACATCACTGTCTATGTTATAAATTCAGATGTCCATGAGAACAAACTAGTATATTACCGTATACTCAATTCCCACCTGATTTCCAATCAATCCATTTGTAGATTCTCTGTCTACAAGAGACGGCGGTCCAAAATACGACAATCCCACACGCGACTTTGTGTCCTGGAGGTGCAATGCCGCGATTGGTCATCAAGAACGCCTGCAAAAAGCTGGCCGGAGGCGCGCCAAATGGCCAGAGCAAGTTTTTGAACGGGTTCCAGGTCAAACCAAAAGAACTCATGCGATAGTCATGTTTTTTCCAACATTTCAATGCCGCGTCTTGTTGCGAAAAAGTTGCGAATTGTTACGAAAAGTTGCGAACTGTATATGGGCCCTCCAACTCCTCGTTTTTCATTGAGTTGATATCCATCTTGAAATATGTCTGAAGCTCTTTTTGTGATCAGGTGGACTCGAAACCAGAAACTTAGACGCTCTAGCGTAGGTGGATGGGTAAAACAAAGTCTGCCGAAGTTGCCAAACATGGCGCGCATCCCCCCCGACCGCCGGCTCTTCGAGTCACCGGAAAGTCAGCTCCTTCTTCGGCGTCGACCAGCCCGGCTACGACTTCGACCAAAAGTTTTGTCTACAAGACACCAGAGAGGAGGAGTGTCACCATCAAGTCCCCCAAGAATGATGCAGGTGACTTCTCAAAGGTTGTGGCAGAGGATAGGGGGCGCAAAAACAAGATCGTCGCAGCAAAAAAAGGTAAGAGTGCAGCTGAGATTGTCCAGGATGAGTTGAAGGCAAAGAAGTCAGCCAAGAGGGAGAAGGCTAACGCCAAGAAGAAAGAGGAGAAGGCGAAGGCCAAGAAGGAAGGCAAGAGTGGCAAGGAGAAGACAAAGGAGGAGAAGGCGTCAAAGCAGAAGGGGAAGGAGAAGAAGGACAAGAAAGACAAGAAAGATGAGGGCATTGGCAAGGACAAGAAAAGAAAAGCAAAAGAAGAAGGAACTCTCCTAAAAAAGAAGAAGAAGGAAGAAGAAGCGAGGGCTGAGAAGGAGAGGCAGGAGGAGGTAGAGAAAGCCAACAAAAGGAGGAAGCAAGAGAAAGCCAAGCAGAAGGAGGAGGAAGAGAGGGCTGAGAAGGAGAGGCAGGAAGA